CAACCGTTCCAACGACGATACCAACAACATTACCAACAACGGTACCAACAACAACACCAACAACAGAACCGACAACTGTTCCAACAACAACACCAACAACTTTGCCGACAACAGGACCAATAGACAAGCCAAACTCAATATGTAGTGATGGTCTAATATACCACCAAGATCCGTATGATTGCCACTATTTTATAAAGTGCGCCAACGGTATACCATATAGATTTAAATGTCCTTCACCATTATTTTGGAACCAAAGCATATTATCTTGCACCCGGAGTGGTGAACACTGCAATTCTTCGATAACGACGCCAAAAACACTGGCACCAACGACGATGCCAACAAGCAGACCGGCGGATTTCGACGTGATACCACACGCGTGAATGGTGACCGCGTTTTGATATGTGAATAATTACCTTTATAAAAATCTACTAATTTATTGTTTTTAAAACAGTAAGTTTCTCTAATAAATTTCTTATGCTATTTTGAATTTTTGTTTCCTTTAAAAATTTTATTACAAAGCTTTTCTCAATCAGTACAAGACTTTGAATATTATCTGTTTCGATCGCTTCGCTACCCAAGTTCTTTATTTTAAATTGATGTTTTTGCGGGAATGAAGGAGTCAATTTGAAACGTAATATGTGCTCATATAAAGAGTGCCAGTCACTGTTTAATTCTTTTACTGCTTCAAGACATCACTTTTGACACTCAACTTTTAATCTAGCATGTGCTAACATATAATTGAACCTTTGGTAACGCTTATTACGAACACGATAGTTGCTCAAGTGGGAAAGTGGACAGCGGAAATTTTTAAGTAAACTCAATACCTAACGTCAGTCAAAAAGATATGTTTCAGAAGCGCTTTCCTGCTAGTTTTCAGTTATTTCAAAATATAATAACCGTAACAACAAGAGAATGGCAAAAACATCCATTTTTAGCAACTGCGAGATATTCAGCAAGAGACGATAAACGGAGGAGCTTACATAAATCGATTAAATATCGTGTTACAAGCTGATCGCAAATATGCAAGAGTGAGGAATATCCTATATTTCAAAAATAGCAACAAAAAAAAAAAAAAAGAAAAAATAATACGTTGGTTATTTTGAATAGATAGATGTAAAGCCTTTACGACCTCGATATTTTGAAGTAACATTACAACGACAAAAGTCGGTTTCAAATGGATTTTAACCGAATTTAATTTATCCAATGAAGCAATTTACGAGAAAAATTAATTTTATTATTATAATAACGATTGCAGTAAGTGATGTTACAAACTGATGAATAATATGCGATAAGAAACCCTGCAAAACTTCATGAAGTTCATGAAATGCGACATCTTAAATATTACCTTACATTTCAACTGTTACTCTTCGATGTTTATTTTATATTCTTACTATTTATTTTATATGCATTTCTGTTTATTTACATTTATAACATAAGTACGCTAATATTTAAACAAACTGTAGTCTGAGTAGAATGAAAAGAGATATTATCAGATTGAATATTTATTGATTAGCAATTAATTGATTAATGTTCTATCGGTCTCTTCCACATAATTACTGAGTTCAAGGCAATTTATCCCCTTAACATGATATAAAAGGGCCTTTTGCAGCAATTCGAAGCGTAGTCGTTTGTAAAAAATTGTATTAAATTTACTTAAAAGAAGCAAATATATTTCAAAAACAATGCATTTGTGGTTAAGCATCATTTGTTCTTATCTACTATTCAAAGGATTCAATTGTTACAAAGAAGAAGTGAGTTGCTCTCTTGATCACGAAGAATGCATAATAACGGAGATTTTAGTTAATTGTTTCAGAACATCCTATAAAACATGAGGATTGTCCCCGGTTAGATGATAACAATCATCCAATACTTCTTGCCCATCCTAATGATTGCCGTCGCTATTATAGCTGCTTAGACGGTTTCGCGTATCCTAAAATGTGCCCGGAAAATTTGCACTGGAGTGCTGTAACATATCGTTGCGACTATCCGGAAATTGCCAAATGCGAAACGGAAGCCAACATCGATAATCAAATTGCAAATGCTAATAATTTCAAATCGAAAGTTTACTTTCAAAACCATCCCAGCGATTGCAATCGCTTTGTTCAATGTCAAATAATGAAATGCCCACCCAATTACCATTGGAACGCGAAAACGGAACGTTGCGATTTTCCTCATTTGGCTCAGTGTGAAAATTATCCTCCATCTTCTAATCAGTCCGCTGGTGCTGCCACCGCTAGTACACCCCCTTCATCAGGTAATCAAGAAAACGGTGTCACATCTCCCGGCTGGCCTGCTGGTAATGACACTCAAGCATCGTCCGGCCACTGTGCAGTCTGCGATGCGCTTTGCGACCGAAACGATCAAATGTATTTACCGTTCCCAGGCAATTGTCATAAGTTCATACAATGCAATGGCATAGCTTTCATTTTCAATTGTCCCGATCATTTGTATTGGAATGCCAAATTAAATGCTTGCGATCGCATTTGCGTACCAAATTAAAATTACAGCAAACAAAAGCAAGAGATGCAAAAAAAAATAAAAAATAAAGAAAGAAGAGAAGATAAAAGAGATGCAAAGTTTTGCAAAATTACTTTTAAAAGCAAACCTTTTTATTATCAATTATACTACATTGCATACATGAACCCTATAAAATACGACGATATAATAAAAATTTAATTGATTTTTTTTATTAACTAAAAGTATGCAAAGCTATATGAAAATGAAGCCATACCAAAAAAAAAAAAATTCTACATTAACACGTTCGCGGACAGCAAAAAAAACTTGAGTAGGGAGCCAAAAAAAATGGCAATATGTTCTAAAATTAGAAGATCGTATTTGAATATATATGCAACGAATGCTATAGCTTTTACGATAATATAGATCAAATTTTTCAACTGGGATGACGTGAACGTGCTATAGCATTCAAATAAGAGAAAACATGAGAAATCTGCTCTCTTTCTAGGGTATAGAAATTTAAGAAGTTAGAGCCGCCCTAAGGAAATTTGTAAATACATAGGGGAGAAAAAAAAAAATTACGAAGCAGGCCATTGATTATGTATGGGCTTAACTAGGTTTAATTTTCGAGTTTCGATTAGTTAAGTTAAATGCACGCGTAAGCGGTGCCAGAGACGCTCTCTCAAAATTGGCAAAACAGGCGTAAGCAAAAGCTCACGCTTTTATAAAACAAAACAACTGTAAATTGAAAATGGAGTAAATTCCAAAGAAAGTTGTTTTCTTACAAGCTGTTGAACCTAAACAAAAAATTTTTAATTTTATGACAGGCAGGTAAGTTACTTGACTTGGTCTTATCGCCAACAGGACTGATCCATGTAACATGTAACGTCGTAATAGTCAAGTAATGGTAAGAAATATATATATATATATATGTATGCATTAGGCCGAATGCTTCCTTCCTGTCCTCATATTATTTGATTTAGTCGTATAGCATACGCGAACGTATTAAGTAAAACTTTAAAAGAAAATTAAAAATGAAACGGCACATTATCATAAAATTATTACTAGCATTATACTACGATAGAGATATCGAATTTAGGGCTGAACATCTCCTAGAAGAAAAGATCTTTTTCTTTCTTCGTGTATAAAAGAAGGCGTGGGTATAATAAAGTAATTATAAAGCGTATGTTTAAGTATTAAAAAATATTAAAATATGGTAACACTGGAGCTATTCCAATGGATTACCTTGCAGCTTGTGCAATTTTAAATTTAAAAAGAAAAAATACAATCAATCTTCATGGCCAGAAAATCTCGAATGCGGAACCTTGATGAGAAAAACAAAGTGTATAAATGACTGCCAGTAAAAAAAAAAAAAGTAATTCATTACATGCGGCAACAAATGCAGGAAACACTTGCTTTCTATATGCTTGATCATCGTCCAAGTGTATCAGAATATCAGCGACGGATGAGGCGTGAAAAATAAAGCGACTTATGAATATGTATTAACAATCATGACATTTTCGCAAGAAATGTTGCAGATGTTATATAATTTTATTACAAGTTGTTTTTTTAAAAAAATTCGAGACACAAATGAAAAATATTTCTTGTTCTGTTTTTTGCAAAAAGAAAAGGAAAAAAGTTAGGAAATATAATAGATGACTATCCATAAATAAAAACTTTAAAAACCTTTTAGGACCAAACTTAGGATCACCTTTCAATTGTAAGTGTGCAAGCGTCTTCTTCAGGCTATGCAGGCTTTTAGTTCAATATTTCTGGCCGTGAAAGTTTCGGCAGACGGTTGGATGGAGTTGATTCATAAAAAAAAATATAAGTAGCATTTGCGATTTTTGGCTTCCGACTTTTCATCGTTAGAAGCGGACGATCAATAATAATAAGAATTTTCTTGGGTGAGTAGTATAAGAATTACACGATATTTATTCGATGGCAAGTGTATAAGTTGGCGGAACCAGCCAGAAATTTCACGCGATCGCGATAAATATTTGTATCAGGTTATAGATAAACGATCTTTTGTAAAACGTAACATTTTGCCTACTGACGGTTTACTTAGGTAAATCCCAACCTCTAACTATGGTAGACATGACAGTGATCGAAGGACGATAACGCTGTCTTTTTCTAAGCTTGATCTCTAAACATCAACAATATATATTTGAGTTCCAGTATAGCAGTATATTTTATGCGCTCTGTGATGTGTGTCATTTCAATGTTACGAAAAGTATGACAAATCTAGTATAGCTCGCAGCCCCCTTTCGCCGTACACTGTCTAGTTTATAAGACAATCATTTCCTTTTAGTACATAAGCAGCATTTTAACTCAATAAAAATCAGCAGTTAATGTAAATGCAAATACGTCCTATTAATTTTTCAAGTGTTTACGCGACACATTGGCCCGAGCGCCTAAACATTATTCTAAACAATCAGAAATTTCCAACAGTTCACATAAGTTAATGTCTGCCTTGTTTTCTCGCCTTCGGCCTACAGGTCGCAATTTTCAACCTATTTTGATGAAATTTAGTGCACTGGTGTGTTTTGGTCCAAGGACCAAAGCTATTGAAAATAGTTTAGATCGAAGCAGTTTTTCGATCACTTCCTCTATAACGCCTAAAAAAGTTATTGTATCAGTAATCAGTAGTAAAATCTCTTCCGGTATGATTCATCTGAAGAAATGTGGAAATGTGGACAACTTAAATTATTCAAGTGAATTAAACGAGTGAATTACACAATGACAAACAAATGCGTACTCTTAAGTTACATTTTTAAATTGCAAAATCTCTTAATTGCTACCATAAACCAAGTCAGGCTGGCAAGTGCATTGATATTAAGCAGTAACGAGTTGTGTACTTTCGCAGCGTCAATTATGCTTTTCCAAACTGAATTTTCCAATTTATATATATTTTGGTAAAAAAAAATTAAATTTCTAATTTAAATTAAGAAATGCTGCAACATAAGAATTCTTTGCGATAATTGTGATGCTCTCTCGTATCTAGTTTGTTGAGAACGCGTCTGGGAAATTCATTGATAACGCCCTGTAGTTCAATTTTAAAGATATAGTTCATGTTACCATATATAAAACCTCGATTAAAACCAACGTTCTCTGTATATGCCGCATGGCTTACAATTCAAATTTTCCATCAACTGTTAAAAGGGCAGACGTAGAAATCGAACTCGATAGATTGGTTTTTAATCGACTTTAATTTTAAATTATTAACAGTGGGTCGATACTAGGTAATACATTTAAGCCTTCATTGATTGTTTTGACTAAACCTGCTTCAAGCCAGCATGGGCGTGAAAGGTGGACTTGCGCATCACCAGCATATCAATGGACCCTAACTCGTTGACATCGCTTACCTTGATAAGACATAGTAAGTGTAATCGCTGGCGAAAGTTCTTCTATAGAGAACATCATTGGATTCAACAAATTTTCGACCCCGCTTGTACCTCTGCACTTCTTCTTCTATTTTTTGGAAAACTCTCGCCAGTAATATTATATGTCTATATATATATATATATATGCCTTTCGCTATTGCGCTGTGTGTTAGAAAATAAAATAGCTCTGATCAATAAATCTGATTTTATATAATACATAATGAAAGTGGTAATATTATTATTCTAAATAAAATATTTATCTTAATTATCATACTATTATTATAATATGCAACTATTATGTATATTACATTATTTATTACATTAAGTGCTTGCATGTATTTTGATCAGCGACATGTATTGCTGAATATGATAGAGTAATGTGGAGTCTTAATGTACACGACAGTTATATTCTATGATTTTGACCATTCTCTACGTAAAATAGCAGTCTACCGTTTAATAGCATTGACTTATTCAGTGTATGCCGGCGATAATCACCGAAAGTTCGAAGTAGCGTTTCCGGCAATCATTACTTTTGTTGTTTGATTTGGGCTGCCGAAGCCCATGAGACACGTTTACAAGCTTATCGCGATGCTGCTCCATCGAAGCACAATTCTTGGTTTTGGTTTCAACGGCTTAAGAGCGGTGATTTTGATGCCAGTGACAAAGAACGGACTGGAGAACCAAAAAAAAAAAAGTTTGACTCGATGAAAACTCATCTCAAACTCTCAAAAAGCTTTCGAACAGCTTAGCAATTGATGGATCAGCCGTTTCTAAACGTTTGCATCGGATGGGGCAAAAATCAAAAGAAGGGAGAATGGTTGCCTTACGAATTGACTGAAAACACCATTTCGAACTGTTTCAACATCATTTTGCCAGGCAAAAAATGGAGAGTTTTTTGTAGCGTATTGTGATTGCCGATGAAAAGCGGATCTACTATGACAATCCCAAGCGCAAAAATGCATATGTTAGCCCAGGATAGACATCCACATCGACACGGAACCGGAATATTCATGGCCATAAAGTTTTGCTGTGTTAAGGGGGGTGTGTTGCAAGCTGCGTAAGTGTATTACGAGTCGCTGGAACCGAATGAAACTGTTACTGCAGATGTATACCGACGTCAATCGAACAAATTGAGCGATGGATTTGTTGCGAGAAAGACAGATCTTCATGATAACGCGCGGCCACACGTTACGGGAGCTGTCAAATACACACTGTTACAGTTTGAGTGGGAAGTTCTACCGCACCCGGTGTACTCACCAGACATAGCACCTCCTGAGTACCACTTGCTGAGATCGATGCAGTGTGGCTTGGCTGGCAGGCAGTTTTGAAATACTGAAGAAGCGCGAAAATGGATCGATGATTGGATCGCTGCGAAACCAATCGCGTTCTTTCGATACGGTATCGCCACATTGCCGGGAACGATGGGAAGAAGTTGTAGAAAATGACGGAAAATGTTTTATTTAATATATATATTTGCACCAAATTTTCTCCGTAAATTAATTTTTCATTTGTTTACTCTTAATACGCTCTTTTTACACACTGAGAAAAATTGGCAATTTTGTCTTTAAATTTACAGTTATGAACAATAGTTTGAGTATTGCAGTCAGCATTGCATTTGCCTTTTTTATAAAATTGCCTTAGCCAAAATTATCGACGACTTTAACCCTTCTTATGCTCTACATGACTTATGGTATAAGATATATTAAGTTTGTGCGGAAGGTTCTAAAATCCAGAAGGACTTGAGATAGATCCACTTTTTGCAATATCGATCGATAAGCGTGTTTGTCCGTCTAATGTATCTCCGTGTATTTTTCTGTCCAATACATTTTTTGAATCCCAAGCCATATAAAGATTCTAATGAAAAATAAGACATTGTATGTCACAAACGTCCAATTTCTATTATTTTGTGATGAAAATTGATCTTTAGTAAATTAAGCTTAGAAAATTTGGAGCACATTTGGGCCATTTAGAGACATGAAAGCAAACCCTTCTATGGCGACAAAGTGGAACATGTGGCTTGTTATGACGGAGACAACTGAAATATAGTAAGATCTTTACCAAGTAAATTAAATTTGATAAATTTGGACCACGTTGGTTGGCGGTTGGACTATTCTCCAATATGACGGCTATCATAAAAATTATGCATTCACAAAAAAATTTGATGAATAACTTTTGGTGCATTATTAAGAAAATTAGTGAATGACTGTATTAGCCGAGGTGGTGTACAGTATTCAACGGTTGGCATTGCTCGACTATAGTATTCTTACTTGTTTATAAATGAAATATAAATAAAGTTGGATTATACGTTTTCGCCGTATATGAAAAGGAAATATGCAGCGTTTTTATCGTATGCTAGAAAAAATTGACAGTGGGCGTTATTTGGGGATAAATTATTTTATATATATTCATTTTGTACGGACGTATGTAATAGCGAGAAAGGCTTAAGGTAGACATAAATTTTATTACACGGAGTGATTTTCTGAATCGATCTGTCTTGTCTATCCGTTTAATGTCTCTCGATGTATTTTTGTGCTTGGCCTATAGGTCGAGAATAAACGCTGTTGAAAATGGTTCTCTTCGATCCACTCTTTCGACCACTCTCCACATAACGAATTACTTTAAAAAATCGTTGCATGGGAAAAAATTACACAGATGCAAAAGAACTAAATGTGAACATAAGAAGTTTATATAAAATATATATGTTTTTATTATATTTAAATTCACATACAAAAAACTTAAAACTAATTCAGCTATACATGGAAGCTGTCTGGAGAGGTCAATGCCTCCATTTGATATTTGCACAGAAAGTTAACGCGATGCGCACTTAATATATTCACCGCACTGATAATCTTCTATTATTTTGATTAATAAGAGCACAAGTTTTTAAGTCACTATCATAAGCTGTTCCTTCAGCACAAGGCCGTTCAATGTCACACTCACACTGACAAACAATGAAACCGTTTTTCTCAGCAAGTGGAAACATGGCCCCATCCGGCTGACCAACACAATGCTTAGATGCATGACACGCAATACCTGATGGGCCGACTTCCGAATGTCCGTCGCATGGTGGGCACTCTTGTTGTGGGCATTCTGCACATGCCGGAGGCGGTGGGCATGGCGATGGAATGTGATCACATACTTTGTTGTGATCGTCAAAAGCAGTTCCTGGTGGACATGGCATTAAGATATCACATCCACATTGACAAAAAATGTAACCAGTACTTCCATTGTCGGGGAACATAGTGCCATCTGGCTGATCAACGCACTTCTCGCTTTCGTTGCAGTAAATACCTGAAGGTCCTGTTTGTGGACGTGGTGTGGTTTCTGTAGGTCCTGGCTTGTCTGTTGTACATGGCGGGCATGTAACCACGTTTGCGCAATTAGTTGGTGGAGGACATGTAGGCGTGGGTGGGCATGTTATACCGTAGCACGCACTTAGTCGCAAAGCCAATAAAAGGATGTAAACTAAAAATTGGATAGAGTGCTTCAGAAAAATTATGGAAATTATCGCATATTATCGCATATTACCTTTCATATTTAATTTATGGAATTTTTTCAAGTACTTTAAATATGCGTCCCGGTAGTCTTGCTTGCAGAAATATCAAAAAATATTTATTATAGCTCAGTACTCTTATCATATATATATACCGAAAATTATTTGCCAGACCTGTTTTAAAATACTATGCTATTCCATTTATAGAACAACTACTTGACAAATAATACCGATAACACCGCTTGTATAAATTTTCCAGGTTTATTACCTAAGTTTATTTATATCAGTAAGATGATACGTTCGGTATAAGACAATAGGTGATAAATTACCAATGAAACAAAGTATGTTTGTACTATCAAAAGTGCAAATCACTTTTTGTGATACTTTCATACTAGCACTAGGTTAGACGAAAATAACTAAACATACTGCAGTGGGCCATGGCCCAGTATTAACTACCATACAATGATTCATATAGCGAATTTTCAGAATACGCTTTAAATTTGAAAGTTAGCGAAAAGTGGCCCGAGCCTGACCCTTTTCAATAACCTTCGTCCTTGAACGAAAACGTGTCGCTGTGTCAAATATCATCAAAATATATCAAAAATTAAACCCTACAGATTGGAGATAGAAACAGACAGACGAACAAACTTATCAGGGCCTATCTTAAGTTCTCCTGGGTGTAACGTATATCCGTACAAACTTACAATTTAACAATTTATTTGTATCACAAATGCCGTGCAATATACAGACGATTTTGTATTAGTTTGCGTTTCAATTTCTCCAGACTTGTCATAAGTAGGTATAGATCGATGCTTGACTCCTTTGATGTACCGCGTAATATAAAACTTTCACACGTGACATTGAATTTCGTTTAAAACATTTTTGTTTACCTTATTTATACACTGGTGGAAAAAGGACGCCATCGGCAAGTGGATGAGAACGAATCATTTTTGCGACCACCTCTTCACGTGACTTCTTGTTTAGAAAACTATTTGCAATTTTTAAATCGCCTAGTGGTTGACTCTCTATGGGAAAGAAATGCGATCGGTGGTCTAATTTTTGAATATCGCCCGATATAACGGTTTCTACGAAAAGTAAGTTTCGATATGCGCTACAACATTTGTAGTGTTAAGTTTGTTCGAATGTGTGTAAAACGTGGAAGGATATGACATGCGATTTCGAAAAGGTCCTTGTATGTAAAGAAGAATTTAATTTTTTGATATGGAATGAATGTGGAAAATTTTAAGTTTTGAACCATTCTCCGTGTAACCGTGTTTCTAAGAAAGATAAGCCTTTGTAAGGTAAAAATGGACAAAACTGATCCGTATTAGTATTTTTATATAAAAATTAACTGTGCCGAATTTGAACCATCCCGATCAACTTTCAACTGGATCCTATCTTGTATAAGGACTCTCATGAAAAATGAGCACATGTGTGGCTTACGGTGACGAATTTCGTACGAATATCAATTCGCGTTTAAGGTCCCTCCCGTGTAAAAGCTCAAAAGAAATATCTGTTTTTACAGGGAAATAGTGTAAAATTTTTTTATTTTATCATGAAAATAAATAAAGAATTGTTATAGGTGAAGTGTGGCCTTCTCCGAGTATGATTTTTTTTACTTGTTAAACAACAATTTCATCACTAGATTGCTCATCGTCATAATTACGATGGGAGGTTTGTACGAAAGATCGGCTTATGTAATACCACTTTCATTCACCCAGCAGACACATTGCAATAGTTAACTAACAATATTCGTTCTAGACGATCCTAAGTGTTCATGCAATGACAATTTCCAATATTACTTGATACATTAGGAGAATTCCAGGATTATTAGGTAGATAGAATAGATTTTGTAGCCAGCAACAACACATATGCCCCTGATAGGCCCCTGATTTCCCGTAATCAACCACCATTGGATAGATATTGTCATTAAAAAAGACATACGAGTAAAAGCGATCGAGTTAGGTCATGTTTCGTTTTAGTTCATGATTCTTTTTCTATTTCCCCAAAATAAGTGCAGCAATTATTTTATTTATTAATAACTTGCCGCAAAATATGACAAAGATAAAAATGATATAAGTGCGCTTGGTGTTTTATTTAAGATGTATGCTCGCATGACACCAGAAATGAACGGCAAAATAATTAGTAAATAGCGATAGCGCAACCACGACATTGCGAAATGGGAAAAGTATTAAAATGGAACTACTCTTTATCCATTATACTTTTGATATGAATTCAAGATCAATTAATTGATTACTTCCAAACATGCTGCCAAAAACAGAACAATACGTAAATAATTAATTAAAATGTGTTATCGTTAACAGATTGAATATCTAACAATACGATTTTATAAACATGATAGAGAAACACCCGCCATTTTAAAACATATAAAATAGTATCAACTTTTAATATAAAAAAAAAAAAGAATAATAATTCTCTTCTTATTGCTGGGTGCAATGTTTTTCGAAAATTCTTAATATATAAAGCACTGACCAAGTCAAACTTATCAATAAAAGAAAAAAAATATATACATATTGCTATTGTTTATTCAATATTGTTATTATCGGAAAGCCTCTTAACAGATGCGAAAAGGTTATTACTCTTCGTTTCTTATCATAGAAATAGTGGAGTGTTTTAGGAAATAGTTTCCGGTATTTATATAAATAAGAATAGCACAACAAATGGCAAGCAGTTTGTGGTGCTTCCGCTGACAACTCTACCGGGAGGCATACTTAAAACACTTGAAAAAATTCCTTAAATTAAATATGAAAAGTAATATGCGGTAATATGCGATAATTTCATTAATTTTTCTGAAGCACTTTATCCAATTTTTAGTTTACATCCTTTTACTGGCTTTGCGACTAAGTGCGTGCTACGCTATAACATGCCCATCCACGCCTACATGTCCTCCACCAACTAATTGCGTAAACGTGGTTACATGCCCGCCATGTACAACAGTCAAGCCACCACCTATAAGAAGGGCACCACGTCCACAAACAGGACCTTCAGGTATTTACTGCAACGAAAGCGAGAAGTGCGTTGATCAGCCAGATGGCACTATGTTCCCCGACAATGGAAGTACTGGTTACATTGTTTGTCAATGTGGATGTGATATCTTAATGCCATGTCCACCAGGAACTGCTTTTGACGATCACAACAAAGTATGTGATCACATTCCATCGCCATGCCCACCGCCTCCGGCATGTGCAGAATGCCCACAACAAGAGTGCCCACCATGCGACGGACATTCGGAAGTCGGCCCATCAGGTATTGCGTGTCATGCATCTAAGCATTGTATTGGTCAGCCAGATGGGGCCATGTTTCCACTTGATGAGAAAAACGGTTTCATTGTTTGTCAGTGCGAATGTGACATTGAACGGCCATGTCCTGAAGGAACAGCTTATGATAGTGACTTAAAAACTTGTGCTCTTATTAATCAAAATAATAGAAGATTATCAGTGCAGTGAAGATATTAAGTGCACATCTCGGTAATTTTCTGTGCAAATATCAAACGGAGGCGTTGGCTTATCCACACACAGCTTCCACGTATACCTCAATTAGTTTTAAGTTTTTTTAAGTATGTGAATTTAAATATAATAAAAACATATATATTGTATATAAATTTTTTATGTTAACATTTAGTTTTTCCAGTGGGCGAACCCTATATTCATGTTTCTTTATAAATGATTTTGTTTTATGGGTATGTTGATGGTACTGATTGGTCGCGTTGAGGAGAACATTTTTATTTAAGTGTATAAAAATCAAACGATAGAGTTTACTAAACACAATCTGATGTCGTTTTTCTCTTAACATTATAAGGCCAAACACCTTATAATAAATTAGTGGCATTTTTTCCAAGATGCGGTGTTTATTCTACGTTGCCATTAAACATTTGCGTTCGTATACATTTTTTAAATATTTCGCTTTACAGTCGCGTGACTTTGCTAACAGTAATTTCGTCAAGGCATACTATAGTGTGTGTGAAAATGAATATTAAATGAATGTTTTTTTTTTTTTTTAAATCAAATAACGATTGCTTAATACAAACAAATAATATCTTTTTACCTGACGCCGTCATCAGGGTGAAAGATCGGCGACCGATGGATCGTATAAAGTTCAGTGCAAATATTAGCGCAAAATTTCTAAAATTGTTTTCACCCAGCATGTTCTCATGTACTTAATCACACAATTACGGTTGAAAAATGAAAAAAAAAAAAAAAACAAAAGTCTCATCCTATCTCTGCTTTGTCTGAACTTTTGGAACGCTTGCGCGCCAATTAAATCGGGTTTCTTCTGCAATTGAGAAAAATTGCTTTAGTCTAATCAGCTAAATTAAAAGTCTAACCATAATTGTAACGCTGCGATAAGTTAAACATTGGAAGATATTTGGGTGGGGTACGGCATGACTAAATGAATAGCTATTATTAACGGTCCGCTATTCTTGGGCTTTTGATACCGTCAATCATAGGAAAAGTAAACTTTACTTTCGATTCGGGGCTCTAGCGATCATGTTAATAAAGACTTATGTAGAAAATCGATATTCAGCTTTTTCTCTTTTTCATGCGTTTTACAAGACTATATAGGGCCGATTGTGTTTGATATTTTCATAAAATGCCACGACTCTAAATATTTATTTATATGATATTGATGAGCAAGTCCACGTTTCACGCTCCGGTGGATTTGGCTCAGCGGAACAGAAAAGATTTAAGATAAAGAATTAATTACAGTTATATCGCTCGCTACATACGAGTTTTTCAATGTCATTACAAATCTTGAACTCAAAATTGAGTGTAGACCAGTCAGTTAACCACTGACAACTGACCCCTTTGACTTCATGATTGTGTGCATGAATAATATCTTACGGAAACTTTAGCTATCGTTATCTTTCATTCGAATAAAAATCTAATCTTTCTTGTCATTCCGCTCATATTGTTCGATATTAATAAGGCGCAAGATAATCTCGATTTCATATCTTTATACAAATGAATCGCAATCGATACTTGAATATTTGTTCAAGATATATCTACAACAAATGTAAATATTGTTATGAAATTCGCTTTTCTAAAATACAGTCCGTATCACCGTTGCCCATGGATATTTTGTTCAAGAGAAATACACTTGAAAGTTCTTTATTTACAATTGTACTCCGTTTATTTACAGTTATGTTCCTTAAATGCAGGATTATTCACAATTTATTTTGGCCGTACTCTCAACTTCTATATTCTTGCTAGACTAACTCATCCTTCCACAATTTATTCTAATTATATACATTTTTACAAGCATATTATTATACTCAAATTCATCGTTTTTTTTACTTAAACCGTCTGCTTTTCCGCTAAGCCTTTTCATTGGCCTGCAACTGCATGATTGCAAATCGAAATTTATTCTTTATTCATAAAACGATTCGCACCCGCATACAGAGGGATATGCACAATCAATTTTAATTTGTCATATCACAAAACGTACTGACTTTGCCAGGCCGTCGATATTTAACTTGTCTTTGTCAGTAGTGTAAAAAAGTGGAATTCTTTTGGTCGCCGGTGTCACGATACTTGTTAACTTACATAGATTGGCAAGATTTCTTTATAGAATTTTCCATCCAAGAATTTTAAATGTCAAAACGTTTAATATCTTACTTTTATACTTACATTTAACATATTGCTTGGGGAGAGACATTAGTTTTATTCGCGCAGTAATAATTTATTATTATAGGATGTAAAGATGTTGATCAAAAATTGGCCGGGATCGTGATTTTGTTTTGTGGAACAAAAGAATTGGCCGACTGGGAAGCTGAAAGAAAGTGACAGGTTACTGCGTTCGCACTAGTGTAAAAATAAAACTCTATACTGCTCGGCTGTTCATCGCCAATGCCATCCTTGTTTAGCTGCCAAAGTAGATTCGGCAAAGAGTATGGCTCTCTAATTTAAAGAATTCAATTAGTTATTTTCTTTTTGTTCATACTAAGCCAAAACAAGCTCGGCTAGAACTTTCAAGAAGAAGAAGAACAACGTATAGAAACATCGAACATTCCTGCAAAATTACATGTCGATATTTTTGCGACCAGAAAAGTGTCAACAATACATAACACGAACGGACAGACACAGCTTAATCGATTCAGAATTTCATAGGGTCTCTAAAGCTTCCTGTTAGCTCTTGCAAACATTCTGCCAAGCTGAGCATATGTCGTTCTTCGGTGGTAGGAATAGTAAAAACTTATCTCGTGGAACTTACCCCTTCCCTAAACTGGTCCGTAGAATCAGTTTAACTATGTGAAATGCTAATATATTGAGATTCTTGTGGTAGTAAGCCTTTTCAGAGGCAGGATCATTAGCTGATGCACTTATACGGGGAGCATTTTTTTCCAAGTTATCATAAGGAGCATTACGTATACCTTCAAAAATTTGATAATTGGATATTTAAGAATTCTCCATTCCTCAATACATTTGAGCCGCAAAAAGCCCCACTTGTAAAACATAACGAACAGACGAACGAGGTATGGCTGGAGTAATCTATCAATACGTGAGTATCTTATAGTATAACAATGATATTTTTTTCGTATTTGAGATCTGATTTGAAGGCAAGGCAATAATTACAGTTTCTTCCAAAATGTCCACTAGTGCGGAAATTGTGATAACTTGTCAGATATTATTTTATGAATACAGTTATATATTTTATGAAAGACAATATTATCATTAAATTAAATTGCAAGTTCCAGAAAGTCGTTGAAAGTTCGCTTCCCAGTGTGTGGATTTGAAATAGTGTACTTTTCTTGATGTTCAGTGCATATATTTTTCGCGTAATCGCCTTCTTTTGAAAACTTTTCGTCCAAACCATTTTCCGTACGATTTGAGTTTACTTTCAAATTTTTCGTTAATTATCAAAACCATCTTCTACTTGTATCAATGCGTTATTTAAACCTGGTAAATGCGATATAAATTCGTATCTTTTCCAAGATTACACAAAAGAGATTCACATTTGTCAAGGAGATGTTACATCATGTGGTGTAATATAGTAATCCGTGTTGGCACGATTATCTTATGTTAAAAGTAAAATATTTTTGGTTTCGACAGCTTCGCTCTTCTTAGTACGTTGGTCTGGCAGTTTGAACAACATATTCACTTTTATTTATTCTTAGCATCAATTTGAAATTAAAGAAAAAGTTCTATCCAAGAGAGAGATCGCTTCTCGGAATAGCGATATTTGAAATGCCAGAATAATTGTAGTTTGTTTTAAAAATAAATGCTTGAATACTTTCCCTTTTAGTTTTTAACAAAATCTGCAATTCAATCAATATATACACGTAAATACAAGTACTTTATTTACACTAATTTCAGATTAAATTTTCAAAATTGTTAAAAAAAATAAATAAAATTTAAAAAAAAAAAATAAAAAAAAAAAAAACATTAAAATTTATATATAGGTTATGTGCATTTATTCAGCTCAATAATAAAACTGAAAATCTCTCAATCTTTACAATATATTGCATTGATTCTATTATGAATATTTTCTCAATAAAAAAGGATCGAAAAAACATTTTTCTCTCCTTAATTTATAGTATATATGTATATATATATAATAATGCAATTAGTGTAAATTACATAAGTAATTTATAGTAAGTAGGTTAAGCATTTTTTTTTTTTTTGTTTCTTTTTTGTTTTTTTTTTTTTTTGTTTCTTTGAGAAAATTAAGAGAACAACTTATGGTCCATATAAATATTTTCGTTTCTGATCTTCAATATAATCTTGCGTAGACATTTGTATCGCTTGTTGTAGCATTTCAGATTCGGTTAATTGGCCAAAACCTACAGGAAAATAAAAACAAATAATGTCAGCAAATATTAAAAGGAAAAGAGGAACCATTTCTAGACAGACATTGACTAAAGTCTTTTTTATTTGTATTTATTATTTAGTATATGTTGTTATTTAAAATTTTTATGCACTCCAGCAATGTAAATTTCCCAGGTCACCTTTGAGGACTATCTCGATATGTTATAGCACAAGTCAAATTTCCCCTTAATTGTGTTTACTTTTACGACGATCAACCAGTGAAAATTTTTCCAAGCATTTTTTTTTTGTTTATTGCATAATACGTACTTTGAACCTTCTAGGATACGTGAGAAAAAATTGATTATCGGCAAAACATTTTCTCTGGGAAAATACTGACCAATCTCCCAGACGCTACGACAAGAATATTTGCGTCAAATCAAGTGTCTTGCCTTTCAGTTTCCATATCTTCTAATACATTGACACTGGTTATCTTTGGCAACTGTTTATGCTCATTTAAAAACATCCAAAAGAAAAAAAAAATATATATATATATATAAAGCCGAGAATGATTCTGAAGCTATCATTGCTTCTACTAAGAAACTTAAAATTAAACTTAAAGGAACTTTGTTTTTGGAATCTGTCATGGATTCGTTTATAGAATTATATATTTTCCTATCACTTTCTTCATTATTTCGCAACATACGAAGTATAAAACGTGCGATTCTGTCTTTGAGAGATGCATCAAGAGACGCAATTTCGCGCGAAAAATTATCGCGCAAAGGGAACAAAAAGGAGTTTATAAAATATCTATACATATGTTATGACATGTCTATACATATTCTAAGCTATTAAAAATGCTTATTCCAAAATCCTATTTTTCAATACGGCACGCATCATAACTCAATTATCATTTCTTTTCATCGCAACTTTTCATAGTTTCTTGAAAACTACATTCCCTAGAGAAATGCCTAAGGTTTTTTTCGATAAGTTAATTTAATATTTTTTGTGAGCAAAAGAGGGCCGTTTTTGATTAAAAATCGCATTTGTTCACTCACTCGCTATTTATATAAAAATCAATATTTTTAAAAATCCCTACGTATTTCTCTAGATATAGGAATGCGGATTAAATGATGATTTTTTTTTTTTAATTTCGATTTGGATCAGTTATACTGCGTTAAGCGCAAAAAGTCGCCAGAGAGTAGCTGCGGTGTTGCCATTATCTAATATTTTAACAATAAATTTTTTTTTTTACTCTAACACGTCACGGCACGCTTAATAACCTTTTCAAATATTATTATACTACTATAATTGCTTCTATCCTAAAAATATTGTCAAAGAATCTATCTCTTTTAGGTCGTCACAGTCATTTATCCCCCTTTTTAAACCAAGCGCACTTAATTCAGCTTATTATATGACGAGAGAGAATTCCAAAGCTAAGTAGAGAGGAGCGATTAATGAAAATGGATTAACTTTTGGAGACTTTGGCTGAGTATTTCTTCTCTATATTGATCTTCAACTTCAGATTCGAATTAATTTTCAAATAAATCAATTTTATCTTCGTTAAAAGCTAGGAACCACACAATTATAAAATTTTTCTTTGTCTAAACACAATTTACGAACTGTTAAGGTGCCTTAATGGCCATTGAATACAAGTTCAAAACTAATATATCCCCTCTTTTCGCTCATTGAAATGCAAAAAAGTTATACTAAAAGATCGTATAAGCAGTTAAGTTAAGTTCATTGTATGAATTTGAAGGCAATTTGGTTACATACACTTCTCCAGCTATCATTACCTACTTAAAACTTTACCGTTTCCTTTTTTCAGTTCACTTGTTGTGAATTGTTTATGCAATTTTATCGATTCCCAAAACTAATCCGCATCAATTACTTAGGCATTCGACGTAACCTGTTAAAGTCGGACAAATAAAAAAGCTATATGAATAGTACGTGTTTAGTTGTGGAATATTTCGAGCTCATTTACAATACGACAAAAACGCTTAACGTTGGCAGAAGCAAAATTATGGTATCGAAATCTGACGGGTGTCCTTTGTTACTGACCTATGTGCAATTAAAAAGGCGGGTGTGTGTTCATTCGTCTCGTTGATTGTAGCCGATCATTTCCCGAGGACGTTGTTGAAGCGTTCAATTAAACCTCTCGACCATTGCTTCAGACTAAGGATGCAATGGAGTCGTTCAGCTTTCACGAATACCAAACATTTGGCAAACCTCGTGGAACATTAACATGAACGCAACTCGATGAGGGCCCCGAAACTGCTTTATCTCTTGGTTTGCTATGGGATAGACTCCCGACCATTTACTGAAGTAATCAACGACTGCCTGTACATACTTTTTTCTCGCATTGCGAGCTGGGATTTCGGACTCTTTCGAAAGGTGCGCCCGCGTTATACTATTGGATGCGTCCACGCAGCTTGTTTTTCGGACCTTTGGATTTGCTACGCTGCTCGCAGCTATGGACTCTTGGATGCCTGCTCAATAGAAATTTTACTTAATCTTTTCCGCCACTTTTGAGACGCCAAGGTTGCCTCCGCTTGGTCCATTGTGCTATTCTCTTATCCTTTCCGCAGTTCTCGCTCGTAAGATCACTGGTAAACTCTCAGTACACGAAGCATTATCATTATACCATATACACCATAAATATCCTTCCTCGACGGTGAGGCTTTGCCACTGAGCCCAATATACTTTCATAATAGGACTTTTATCGCAATTTGTTCCTATGTTCCTATGTGGGACTCTTCCCATTTTTGCTCTCCGTCTTCCTTTGAAAAGTTCCTGTTGAACTCCACAATAGTCCGGCAGACGGTGACATTTTCCTTGTTCGCGCTTCTTCCGTAGTGTTTGCACTGCGAATCATGGGCGGCTAGATATGCCATCCGCATTACCATAAGGTTTCTTATTCCTACGGCATATCGAGAAACAGTAAGTTTGGTCGATTTTCACTGTTTCGTCCTCAATTTTTGATATTTCTTCTTCAATTTTCGCCGTTGTCTCATAAATTTGGAATGCTATTCCGTACTCTTGTCCATCAATTTTGGCCGCCACTTGCTGTTCTCCTACTGCATTATTTGCATAATAGCGGCAAGCGATATATTTAAATCATCGTCACTTTTTGCTTCGCCACGTACCCTCTGCCATTACGTCACAACTACATTTGAACTTATATAAGAAAACTTCATTTCCCTCTTGTTTTAGCTGCTCACATAATCTTTGTTACCACTTGAGCGTATATTCCTTTCTCTCAGCTCCTTTTTAAGCTGTTCTACTCTCCTAATTTCATAATGATTTCGCTTTGCCACTAATAATTCCACTTCCGACACCAGTGTAACCAATAAACCGTCTTTTGTGATTTTATGTTATTTATTCAACTCCTTTCGAAATTAAGTTCGTACCACTGAATTGTCATTTTTAGGATAGTATGGGTTTTATTACAATTCTTAGGAGATGTATTTACAAATTATTTTCACGAATTTAAACTTAAAATGATTCTGTTTTCGTCCGCTTTTACATTTCGACTCACCGCTTCTGACTCAATTCAATGTGCCTTCTGCAAATACTCTGCTTACATACCCTATTACAAGACAGTTACTATTACCTAAATTTATCACGACATTTTTGTGTTAATCTCTTTTTCCGCAAAATTTCTGCTATTGTTGTTAATGTTTTCATTAGTCGCCAGCTGCATGGAGCAAGCAAAGCGTCATGATTGTAATGTTGGTTTTTCGTATCTTTCGAATTTTTTTTTTCTTGGAAAATCGACTGACTAATTTTTTTATGAAAACTCAAATCATACAATGTGTGAATTTCGCAACATTATTTATTTCTTCTAAATAGTTGTTTCGTTAAGATTTCAAAAATTGGTATACTCATAGTTCATGGCTTAAATTAATGATTTTTCAGGGAGAAATTCAATTTCTAACTCACCATAAGAGGCTTCCAAAAGCTCCTGGTAAAAACTAGAAAAAGGTTTATCAGCTGTTGTTGCTGCGTTGGCAGTGCAACTGAGGCGTTGTTTTTCGGATGTATTGGATTGTTTTGAGGTGCATGGCTGTTGCTGTTCAAAGTCCGGTGTTAAGGAACGTATGGCGTTTCTTAAAACATCAATTTTAGGGCTCTTAGACGACGAGTTCACCTCGTCTTCGCTGCTAACGGGAGATAAGAATGTTTTTATGGTTTAATAAAAATAATTCTTTTTAATATCAAAACTGTTTAGCAATTAAATTGCCTAATTTCAAAATACGTAACTCGGTAAACCTAAAAGAATTTAATTAACGGTAGTCCAATAAAACCTACATACGATACGAAAAATTAAGATTCCTCTTCTTAAAAACTGCATTTATGGGTTGAGCATCAAAAAACATATTTCTAAGGCACAAAAACTTATATTAAATAACTTTTTTAAATTTTTGTTTTGACTTGAAATAAAATTATAAAAAAAATGTACCAAAAAAAGAGAAAATCTTTAATCAACAGTATTTAATTTTTTTAGTTGTTTTCGTACATTTAAATATTTAATTTATTAATTCAACTAAATTTATTTTGCTTAAAATATCACAAAATATAAAGAAGCCCAAAGCATTTTTTCAAGGGATTGGCAGTGCAATTATAAACTTAAGAAGAAATGAGAAAGAACCGTAACAAATACCTAAAAATAAAATACGCATCCATCAGGCCAATTAAACAAGCTTACAGAACTCGAACTGAAAATCGAAATATTATCAGAATTGCAACAAATGAGCACAAAACTAGCGCTGTCGACATTGGAAAAGAACTAGAAAAATATAAACCAATTAGTACTCATCACGGAACCGTTCATAATGTTTTAGAAGCCAAGGATTTTCGTAGCTGCATTCCAAAAAAAAAAATTAATAAATAAATAAATAAATAAAAAAAAAAACTTATTAAGCAAAGTTAATATGATGATAAACTCTTAAAAAAAAAGATACATATATTTTTGGAAAACCGTAAGTTGTGATGACGAATCTAAGTCTAATATATTTGAATACGTTGGTAAACACAAAGTAAGGCGGAAACCTAATGCAGCGAAGGCAACGCAAATTTCATTACTAGTTGTAAAGCACGGTGATTGGTTTATCGTAATTTGGGTACGCATGTCTATGAAAGGCTATGAAAATCATTAAATCTTAAAATATTTCGAACGGTTTCGGGATAAATACTAATGGGTTTATATTTTCTTAGGGCTTTTGCAATATGAACAGCACTAGTTTCGTTATAACTCCGATAATATTTCGATCTTCATGTCCTGCAAGGTTGTTTAGTTGATTTATTGTAGTTGTGTTATCGTAATTTTTTATAATAGTTTGGACAACGGCACGGTTAACTCCCATCGTTTTTCTAATTTTTCCTTATGGTTTCTTCTCACGTCTTCTTAATTTTGCAATCACATTTCTAACTTCTTGAGCAATTTCGCGTTGGGTTTTTGTATATTTTGTGATATTTTAAGGAAACTAAATTCAGTTTAACTGATAAATTAATTAATTAAATGTACGAAAGCACATACATACACTAAGTACCGTTAACTAAGAATATTAATTTTTTTTTGATGGAATTAAAGCATATTTTTTACTTTAAATCAAAACGAAATCTTTTTTAATATAAGTTTTGGTGTCTTAGAAATATATTTTTTGATCTTCAGTCCATAAATGCAGTTTTTGATAAGATGGACCTTTAATTTTTCGCATTGAATGAAGAGTTTATGGGGCTACTATATGTTAAGTTTCAACTTATTCACTGACCGTAAGTCGATTATACTTATTATTTTTAAAAAAGTACAACAATTTAAATTAATTTAGTGAAGGAAATTATTTCATTTACCGGATTTGAAATTTGAAAAATGGCATTGTTGTAAAGTCAATTAAATGTTAAAAGTTCATTTACCTCTTGTTTGTTAATTCACGCCGTCGCTTTTTCGTACTTCTTAAATTTGTAGCAGTGTTAGTAGTAATGTTACGCGTTTTGTTTTTTTTACCTCGTAAACTATTTGAGGGTGAAACGCTGCCTCCAGTAAGGGAACTAGTACTACTCATGTCTGTATCATCACTTTCGAAGCCACCGTTTACATCCTCTTTCTTCAAATGGCCTAAATTATTTAAGTATTTAGGCGAAAGAGTGACAAATGTATTCAACGAATTTGCTGATAAATTAGTACAAGAGCCTGAGCCAGAGGAACTAGCAGGGGTAATAGACGCACCGGTGGTAATAGTACTGCATTCTTTATTATCTGTTTCATCTACTACATAAGAAGAATTATGTGCAGCATATTTCGAGGGTGACGCGTTAGTATCGGAGGCAGCTTCTCCCGAGGTAACGGTCGCCGATGTAGAAGGTGTGGTAGCACTGGCATTTCGTGATTTTTGTAAGTTTTCACGACACCACTGTAAATAGGATTCGCGAGCAATTTGTTCTTCAATTGCTTCATTAGTAGCCTCCCAGTCTGTGGTTTTAAGTTTATCCTCAAACATTGTCTGCTCTATTTCAAGTTGCTCACTAAGCCGTAATGCATCTTTAGTTTGAAGCTCAGGTTTATAACCAGCTAAGCCCAAGCCGACGCCAACTGTCGCATTATATGGATCAATGATGGCATTGTAATGAGAACATCTTTGATAAGATAAGCGCAAAGGAGCATAACCGTTATTTAATTGTTCCGAATTGAATATATTTATTGGAGCTAAAGTAGGAAAAAAAAAAAATAAATTGCAAACCATTAAAAATGAATATTTTATAATTGACTTACTTGGCTTATAAGAGTAAACTTCAACTGGACGACTATAAATTTCGGATATGGCTTGTATCTCAATATGATTGCCATGAGAATCTTGACGTCGTTTACGTTTAATATAATTATTAATGTCTTCGGTAACAAACTGACTAAAGTATTCACGATTTTTATACTGAAATAATGCATATGAGAAAATGTCTTCTTGCTTTTTTATATAGCTTACAATATAATCCATAGTATGCTGCCGGATGACATCGTGCATTTCTTCATCACCGTATATTTGCAGAGAAATCGATCTAAAAAGACAAGCACCATCTTCTTCCACAGGCTTAAGTATATAACCACGATCCGCCATACATTTAGCGAATTGCTCATCACGTTTCTGCCATTCATCAGGTGTGATAAGACCTTCTTTTGGCTGTAAATGCTCATCGCCGGAATTATAGCCCGAATAGGTATCCTCCGTGGCCTTTAATAAATTAGTAGCCGCCTGGGTTACAGCAGATGATTGACTTTGTGGACTTTGCGAGCCTAACATAAGATGTTCCGGCGATTTATTGCCAGTTGTTGACACATGGTTTACGGGACTATTGCATCCAGTTACCGCTCCTGGAACAGCAGAACTATTGCCTGCGCTAAGAGGGCTATTAGATTTTGTTACCCCACCTACGGATACAACATTCGAAAGTTTATCTACGTGATTGCGTTCGCGCTTATGATGATGATCGTTATGGTGATCACGGCGTTTTGAGCGTGGTGTCTTGTGGGGACTGCGACGATGACGTGTTAATTCGTCATACACATCTCCGCGTCGTTGAGGGCTCTAAAATCACTTCAAACGAATACAGCAAAATCTGTCTAAAATACTTGCATTTATTCTAACATACTTGCCCATGGTTATCAATTACCACATTACGATGACTGTGACTGACATTTGTGCGTGACTGTTGACCGTGCCCAATAGTTGGTCCAGTCTCGTTCCCTACAACGGAATTCTGGTGCGATTCTTTTTTCTCGCCCTCTGTCGTCGCGCTGCCACTACCTACTCCACCACGTTTCGGTGAAGGTGCTATCACTGGTTTAATGGTCATTGCTTGTCGGACCTAAACACTAACACAAATGACGCAAATAGGAAAAAAATGTCTGTTGTAATATTAACGTTGTTGCTGCTACTGCTGCTTCTTCCACTATTTCTACTGATTTTTCTTTTCTCTGTATAATTGTCTTTGTCTCTTTTTTTTTTCTTTTTTTTTTTTTATTATTTTTAACGTGATAAATCATAAATTTTCCCTAACGGATACGAAGTGGGCAGATATGAAAAAATTTTCTATGTATTCCTGATGATTTATAAAATAAAACTAATTGAAAAAGTTGAATTTTTATTGTATTTAATTGCTTGAATTAATTGTATTGAAATTTCACTCTTTCTTCTAAATTGTTATTTTTCCTTTGGATTGTTTTGTTGGCCGTATGGCAGGATTGCCAAGACACTAAAACTAATGATTTCTAAGAATTTAGGAATTCGATTATGTTTACAAAAAAATTTTATATATGCAACGAAGCGAGAATATTCCAGATTCCTTAACTGCTGCTGCAAAAAAACCATATACACACGACATATATTAATTTTAAGTATACGTGGGCTTCATCAACTCATATTAATGTTGTTTCTAAGGGTTAACCTGTCCCTTCGCGGACGTATGAATATTATCCTATCGGATACTTAATTTTGCATATACAACGCGTTTTTCATGTTCAAAACGGATTTTTCTTTTTTATATTTGCTCGAAACATGAGAGCAGTTAAGGACTTCCCTTGTGCTTTGGACGACGAATATGTTGTTTGTTAAAAAATATAGCGTTTACAAAAATTGTATGAAGAGGTATTTGTTTTCTTTCATAGGATCAATATATGAATTATATAGTATTTCCGAGTGTATTTAGCGATTTCTGCCTGTTCGCTTGTTTATTTGCTTTAAATGTGAAACTCAATTAGAATTGAGAATTAGAGGATAATATAATACTTGCTTTCAAACATGATCACATATTTGTATTTAAAAATACGATTTTATTTATTAATTATTATTGTTAATTTTTATTTTTTGGTTTATAAAAAATCTATTATTTACGAAACTATTTACAAGTTTTATTCGTCAAATATTCATTCTCATTTAGTATTTCTTCCTCCTCTTTCATAAAATTAGATTATGAAAATATATTTGGGTTTCTATTTTTTAATATATCCATTATAATTTCCTAATTTTATCAGATTTCATACACATGTTTTATAGATACACATAAATAAAAAAATGAAAATTATGTATTTATACAGTATATATATATACATTGATCAACAAATGCAACGCTGTGATCTAATCGAAAACAAATTTGTTTTCAGTTATTAACAAAATTACGTTATAGTGAAATAAAGATAAATATTTCGGTAAAATATAAAAAGAGAAATCTATTATGATGCAAATAAAAAGAGTGCTAAACAAATTATTACTACATTTTTGATTAAATGTTGTTTATGTAAGCGTTTTCACAAAATTTCAAAAATCAGTTATTTGCTTGTCTTGTAAAAACTAGTCAATTGCTTGCTGTTCAGAGATTATTTTTGTAGTGTTGTTTAAAATGAAAGGTTTATCCATCAAACAAATTCAGAATTTTTTCTTTTTGTTTTTTTTTTGCTGTTTTTTTTTTTTGTTGTTTTTTTTAAATTAAATTAAATACTTCTTTAACACTTAGTAAGTTATAGTGATGATGATGAGCTAAGTGATTTTGCAAAAGTCTTGGGTACCAGGAGGGGGCTAATTAAGCATTTGCGTGTGCTGAGGTTGCGGCTGTTGGGCAGTTTGCTGTTGTTGTTGTGTCACCACGACGTGATGATGTTGCTGTTGTTGAGGTAATTGTTGTTGAGTATGCATCTGAAGTTGTTGTTGCTGCTGGGTTTCAGTAGTTTGTTGTACTCCAGCTTGTTGCAAATTCGCTTGCACTGCTGCAATGACACCCGTATCAGGTACCAATAAACGTTCACCTCCTCCACCCCCACCCCCGCCACCACCGCTTGTACTAGGGCCTGCTTCGTCATCCTTTTGTAAGCATAGTTCAGCCTTAACTCTTCTTGCTATATGGGAACGTGTATGCTTACGCAAATGATCTTTACGATAGAACCTTTTACCGCAATCTTGACAAATATGTTTCTTTTCCCCAGAATGTATCACAAAATGTAAGCTGAGTTGTTCTTTGCGTTTAAAAGCTTTCATACATACTGTACATATGAAAGGTCTTTCAGGATTGTGTGACTGTTTATGCCTGGTTAGGTGATCTTTGCGTTTCAGAACCGCTTGGCAGATATCACATATAAAACGTCTTTCAGAATTATGGCCTATTAGGTGGATTTCTAATAATTCCAGTTCCGGATAAGCTACTTGGCATTCAGGACACATGTATAGGCAACTGCCATCTAAGGCGGTGGTTAAACGTATTTCGCCTGGTTTAGGCTTAGGCTTGTGTTGTTTGACGCGTCTTTTGCGCTTTTTACGCTTTGTCGTACTTTCAGCGGTCGTAGTGGTTGTAGCAGTTGCTGGTTGTATACTGGCTAAAGCACTCGTAGAAGCACCCGGCTGTAATTGCGCAGCAGCAGTGGTTTGTTGAAGACCACTGCTCGTTTGTTGTTCCTGTAATTGATTAGTTATTTGTTGCAGTTGTTGTTGAGGTATTGTAATGGTTGTGGTTGTTCCTATTGTATTAATGCCAAGCTGTGGTCCCGTTTGTACCTGGGAATCATTTTAATTTACGAAATTTGTTCTCCTTTTCTTTCTACTTTGCATTTACTTACTACGTTAGGAGTTTCTTTTTTAATGTTTTCTGCGGAATATTTAAGAAAATGATGCAATGAAAGCGGCAAAGTATTTGCTGGAAGATGTGATAAATAATCAGCCACAGTAGTACCCGGTGTCAAAGATTGCCATGAAGTATTTTGTAGCACTAAAGATATAAGTGTGAATTGATTATAATTTTATTTCTACGTCTATTAAAAATAAGTCTCACCCTGTGTGACAAATAATCTAAAACGAATTTTTGGGCTCAATAAAATAAAAAACAAGGGATTTTTTATGTGATTAAGGTGTGTGTGTGCCCGCCCACTGTGCGTGTAACTCACCACGTTTTGAATCCACACCTTGTTGTTGCAGTATGGCATTGCAAAGATCCTGAGTTAGCTCCTGAGGTGCTAGCTGCGTCTGCATTTGCTGAGCAGATGTACTAGGCTGGAGTTGGGCTTGTTGTAAACCTAAAACTGAGGCAGCTGCGGCTGCTGAGGTGGAGGCTGTTATACTATTTTGAGGGTAAGCTATGGCTGCTTGTACCAAGCGTTTATCTTCCGTTTGCTGGTTGTACGAAGGCAGAGCAGCGTATTGCGCTTGTTGTTGCTGCTGAGGCGTTTGCTGGTTAGTCGTTTGGTCGGCCGTTTGTAAAGCAACCATATGACCATTGTACTTATCACCTTGAGGATCGTCGTTGTTTGAACGAAATTTGGCAGGAATTGTAGTAACAGTCGTGGCTGCGGCCACCGGCAGGTTAGGCTGATTGAAATGGGCCATACTAATAGTGGTGGCACCAGCTTGCTGCAACTGTTGCTGCTGATATCTGTTGCTAGGACCAGCTCCATCTTGCTGCTGCTGTTGTTGTTGCTGCTGCTGCTGCTGCTGCTGTTGTTGTTGTTGTTGCTGTTGTTGTTGTTGCTGCTGCTGCTGCTGCTGCTGTTGCTGTGTATTAGTGGATGTAGCCGTCGCTACGGCGGTCGCTGATGTTACAGTGGATACCAACTGCGCTGTACTTGTTGTAAACTGTGCTATACCTGGTATTGAGCCAGGAAATGGATTTCCAAATGGTGTAAAATTCATTTTTCTCTGCGATTGCTACTCTGATAGTTACAATACTGACGTGATAATTGTGTGCTTGAACCTGAACAGTTTTTATTTTTGATCACCAAATATCTGAATAAGCATAACTGAAAATGTAATTAAAGGGCAATTAATTATTGTGATGAACTAATTAATAATTTATTACGGTTAAAAGCCGGAATTTAAATTACTCGTAGCTAGAGAGAACCCTACGTTGCGGATTTATTGATGATAAAACGTAAACAGAGAGCCTCAACAGTGTAAATATGAAAAGGACAATAAAACCCATTGAAGTTAAATTGCTATGCAATCAAACAAATTAAAAGTGAAATTCCGTTATCAAGAGAACTTACTACACGTTTGTTTACTACCATAATTTATACCATACATATATGTAACACATATAAGTAATGTACACAAATTTCGTGCACGTATACTCATACCATTGCGAGAGAGTCTAAGAGAGTTGCAGAAAGAGTGAAATATAAAAAAAAAGAGAGCAATCTGGCAGAGAAAGAGAAAGAGAGAGAGAGAGAGAGAGAGAGAGAGAGAGAGAGAGAGAGAGAGA